CTGCCCTCTTAAAGAGTGGGCATGCTAGGAGTTAAGAGCACAGACACGAGAGCCCAGCTGCCTGAGGTCAGAGCCTTGGCCAACACCTCATCTTCTCTGTGCCTCAGTTTTCCCAGCTGTAAAATGGACATTACCACAATGGTGACCTCCTAGGGCTGATATGAGGACTGCAGGAATAAAGGGGATATGGTGAGGCTATGATGAGTAGCTAACATATATGACTTTTACTAGGCATCCTTGTCCAGAGGCCTCTGGAGACTGAGCAGCACACCCTGGTTCCACACACCTGCCGCAGCCCCTGGCAGTTCCCCACACACAGTGACCTTCACCTGTCTGATCATGTCACATTATCATGTATGATAATCAAATCAACTTTGCAGTTACACTTTTGGCTAGAGACTTGGATCAGGAATCTGGTGCCAACACTTCTTCCCAAAGATCAGCGCTACAAGACGTTCCTTAGGTCACGCCCACTTCTACCTCAATTTCCCCATCCACAAGAAGAGGGGATTAACCTTTCTTGCCCAAGAGTTGTGCAAGTCACAGGAAGAAAGGGAGGCATGTCCCTTTAGGACCAGAGGATGCAAAAGATGGGGAGGGAAGGGTTGACAGGAACAGAGCAGCTGCTTCCACCAGTTTCTGGTCCCAGCCCCTAGAGGCTGTCCCTGGGAGGCAAGGTGCCCTTCATGCTGCTAAACCTGATCTATGACAAGACATTACACTATGAGTGACACAGAGCTAAAAATGCCAAGCTAACAAGACTCACTGCTACCCTGCCAGCCTTCAAGCAGGCTGAGGCACATTCATGGATGTAGGAGAGGAAAGGCCTGCAAATATTGGAGACAGGGCTCAGCTAAGTCCAGAAGGTAAGAAGCAGGCTTTCCAAAGTCTCACATGGAACCTTGAAGGGCAGTGGGATGCACTAATGGGACTGCAAGGGCATAGGTGGGGAGGTAGGAAGTGTGACTAATTCATTTCTGGCTAGTTTAAGGGTAGGTGAAGAAAGAAGGCAGCACAGGAAGGAAAAATGCAGGCCTAAGCCAGACTGGTAGTCCTGAGGATAAAGTTAAGAAGTAAGGCTCTTCAAGGGGCAGGAAACAGAGACCTCAGAAAACCGAGAAAAAGCTAAACTATCAGGTATGTCTAGGCAGTGAGGAGTATGCTCATGACCATGTAGAAGGCTGGCAAATGTTTCTACAAGTGTACTTGTATGTGCTGTAAGAATGTCCAAGTGTATAGTAGAGCTGTCAAGAGATAAGGTTGTAGCGACTTCTTGGCCACAGCCAGCTACCCAGAGGGAACAAGTAGTTGGACCTGTGGGCTCAGGACCATGGTTGCAGGGGACATCAACTGGCATAACATATTACACAAAAACATTGTTCTACATCCTACTTTGGTGAGTAGTAACTGAGGTCTCAAAAGGTTGCAAGTGGCCATCTAGATGTGATGGGTCTCCCCTCATCCAGAGCAAAGAAGAACAAAGAAAACCAAAGACCCATGGACACAATTAGTCCAAGGGACTGGTAGACCATGATATCCTCAGCCTATATGACCATGAGACCAGAAGAACTAGATGGTGCCAAGCTATCACTGTCAACCACTCAGAGGGGTAATGGTACAGGAGATCCTGGATAGAGTGCGGGAACAATGTGGAACAAAACTCAAAATCATAAAAAAAAAAAAAGACCATGTTTCCTAGTCTGATAAAGCCTGGTGAGAACCCTGAGACTATGGCCCTAGTTTCCCTTCAGGTCTGGAATTGAACTGACTCCTGCAGCTTCCAGCCAAACAATAGACAGGCACATAGCGTGAACATTTACATCAGGTAGATACACTACTAGGACCCATCAATCATGGGAGAACAGAAGGGCAGTGTTTACACAGGGAGACAGCCTGGGGTGGTGGGGAGTGCATGGGAGGGAAGGACACAGGGAAGAATAACTATGGGGAGGTAGTAGGAAGAAGTCTGTTACATTGTGGAGAATTACAGTTAGTGTCATGAGACAAAATGTATATCAACACCATATGGAAAATGAATTTGCTCTGTAAACTTTCACCCAAATCACAATAAAAATTAAAAAGAAAAAAGACTGAGCAGAGACAAGGAATGTTATTGTGACAGAGACACTGTGGGCACAGCAATGAAGAACTCAAGCCCTGAACAGGGCTGGGAGACAGCAGTAACACAAGCAAAGCATTTCCTAAGCACATACTCCAGGCCCCACACTAGCCCTGACACACCAGAGCTCACCTACCTCTACCCACAGCCCTCTCTGGAGATACCAACTCACACCACTTCAAAGACAAATTTAGCAAAAGCTGTACCTGGCACAGAAGGCAGTGAAGACACTGAGATCTAAACCTGCCACCTTCTGCTCTTAGAGCCCAGGTTCAGGTCTGAGATTATACCTAAGCACCTGGCTTGTACCAAGCAAGAGAGGCCTGGAGAAGAGCACAGAGACAAGGCATTCCCACCCTCTCATTCCCAATCCACAAAGACCAGGCCTTTGATCCAATCTGGCCACATGTGCCTAGCCTGATTGCAGACAGGTCCCTATCACGCCCTCCTTGCTAACCCCTCATGATACCTGCCAGAATGCCCATACACAGGAGCTGGCAGCCCTAGCACAGCTGTCCCTTTGGAAGTTGCAATTAAGGCAACAGAGTAAGATGCACCTGGTCTGAAATCACACAGCCACTTAGGATAGGAAATAGCATCTACCTAATTGAGTAACCATCTAGTTCTCTTAACCATCCACCAGGGGAAAAGAAGCAGGGCGCACAGCTGAACTTGGGATGCATCACTCTCCACCCCATGTTTGTGTTCCTCTCTCATCAAACTGGGTCCCTTACAGAAGGGCTGTTCAAGCTTGGCTCAGAGAAAGCTCACTATCTTCAGACAGATCACGAGGGCCACAAGTCAGACAAGCCAGTCTCAAGGTTCTGAGACCCATGCAGACATGGGAGGAGCCCAGCTCCTAAGCCACGGCTCAGTCAGTTATTTACTGGTGCCAAATGGGCACCTCCTCTGCTCAGACCTTGCTTCACACAGTTGGTTCAACCAACTGATTTCCTCATCACACTCATAGAGGATCCTACTGGTTTCTCAAAGAGGCAGCAGAGGCTCCAAAGAGTTAAGGAACCTGCCTGAGGACAGCAGGGGCAGGAATGCAGGGAGATGAACATCAGGGAAGCAGCAAGCATGGTAGATCCCCAAGACCCACACCCAGCAGTCAAAAGCCTATTTGGCAAAGAGAGGAGTCAGTGGGGAAGTGGAGCACACAGTCAGAGAAACCAACAGGCTACAAAAGTGTCTACTACACACCTAGCACCAAGCCAGGCTTGCTCAAATACATGATCCTAAGAACATTCCATCTGAGTAGGCAATACTGCAAACTCATGTGGCAAAGAGAGAAGCTAAAGCTCAAAAAGTATCCCTGCTTACAACCATATCACTAGCAATGGGCAGGATCCAAGTTCAAACTCAGATGTATCCACCCAGATAGCAACATCTCCTTCCCCAATAGTGCAATGAGGTTTGGGCATCATGGAGTGGTGGGACAGAAAACACCTTCTGTCATAAAATTGATTCTTTGATTCACAGCAACCTTACTGGGCAGAGTAGAGCTGCCCCATAGGGTTTTCATGGCTGTAATCTTTACAGAAGACTGCCACACCTTTCTCTTGTGCAGCCCCTAGTAGGTTTGAACCTCTGTGCTCAGAGAAGGGAAGTTCTCACAGGAACTCTCCTAGAAGGGCCTGGTGCTTACCCCTCCCCCTACCACCACCTAGAGGGGCCTAATCTCCTAATCCTCCAAGTGAAAATTAAACCGGAAACAGAGGTCTACTGATGAACATAGCTCCAAGTGCGCACCCAAAGACCTGCCATCATGTCTGCAGAGGTCTTCTCCATAGCACACTGAAGGTGGTCCTGGGACGAGGCACAGGAATGGAAATGGCTGAGAGAAGCAATATATTCCAACTGACAGGAGAAAAAATCATGGCATTGAGGGGACTGTTCCCTGGTTGGAGAGCTGTGCCTGGAAAAGGGATATTGGGGGGGCGGGGGGTGACTCCAGCCGACAAAGTGATGGTTACATGCAAAACGCACTCCTAGACTCCCTTAGGGCCCTGTCCAAGGCCTTTCTCAGCCTCAAAGCACTTAGGAAAAAACTGAAACCATGCTGAAAGTATCTGTGCCCAGAAAAGGGAAATAATTTGCCCCAAAAATGACACAGCAACAGTAGTAACAAAGACTTAGGCCTTGCCTTTCCCAACCGGTCAGCTCTTGGTTCGGCATCCACAGGCCACATAAACGGTAGCAAAACACTGCAGACTATTAACCCCATCTTACAAAACCCAACTCTGCCTGTGCTGCCCACAGGTCTGCCAGAAGGAAAAAGGCAGGATAGTGACGGCCCAACTGAAGGTGTATACCTACACAGGTGTTGCACACCCACTCGGCCAAAACAAGCAACCTGGCTGGGCAATCCTTGCCTTAGCTGGAGGAAGTCAAACCCACTCCCAAATGTCCTGTCTCCGACACCCTGGGGCCTACCTAGCTCCTAGGGAGCCACCGGGTTAGAATCCTCCTAGGAGTGTCCCAGTTGTAGGTTGCCACTCTCCGTGAGCAGGGACAGGAGCAAAAGCCAGGATATGAGGGACTGCGCCGGGAAGCTGGGGTCCTCAGGGTCCAGCTGTGGTGCCCGCAGCCCCACCCACAGAGTCCGCAACGACTGGGGCGGGGGAGGATCTCAGGGGCCCCTGGGCCCCTCTTCCACAACAGCATCAACCGGCCCCATCTCCCTCTGCCAGTGAAAGGGTGACCTTGAAGGCCAGCCGCCTTCCTCCTGGCGTCGGCGTCCCCTCTATCCCAGGGGGGAACCCTGCCCAGCAGTGCCCCAGCTCGCCGACTCGCAAGGCAGTGGGGGTCCAATCTGGCGCGGCCACCTGCCCAGCCTCCGAGGGAGGGCGTGGCGGCGGGTGCCCGGCCCACTCACCTCTTTGAGCTGCTCCATCTCGCCGCGGATGGCCTCATAGTCCACCTCGAGCTCCTCGAACTGCAGCTTGAGCTGGTGCTTCTCCTCAAGTACCGCCAGCCCATACTCTGCTGCCTGGATTTTCTCGCGCGTGGTCTCGGCCAGCTCATGGGAGAGCCGCTTCACCTCCGCGCGCAGCCACTCAGGCTGCGCCTCCATCACCAGCCGTGCGTACTCCTCCTCCTCCGAGGGCGCCGACATGGTGGCGCACGGGCGGTGGCTCGCGCCGGCACGGGCAAGATACCGTCGCTCTCGCTGGGCTCACCAGTCACCGCCGCCCATCCCCGACAGCCGCCCCGGCCGCGGACGCGCCGCCGCAGTCTTGTCTCCGCCCGGGGGATTGTGGGGACTGTAGTGTCACCTGCGCTTTCACTACAAGGCCCATAGTGCCCTGCGCCGCGCCACCTCCAGCCGTGATTGGCCCGCGCCTCAACGTCTGGCCGACGTATTGACTGAGACCGTGTGGGCCTGGAGGCAGGCGTTTCCCCAGCTCGCGGCCGCAGCTGGAGTCGGCGGGAGGTCCGTGTCTGGCGGGAGGAGTCTTTGCACCCCCTCAATACCTTCCAAGGCGGAAGGCGATGGTCCGGTGGTTTGTATTTGCTGGATCCGCCCGCCAGGGCCTGTACATATCAAGCGCTTACTGACCCTGGCCCGGTTGGCGTTTAGCTGGCCAGTGAGATCCGGACCCGCGTGGAGCCTACACGGGCTGTGTGACCTGGACAAATGGCTCAGCTGCGCGGATCTTCGCGTCTCCCATTTGTGCAACGGAGTTTCTGTGGGGACTTGTCAGGGCTCTTGTGAGGATTAAATGAGCTCCGCTGAAAATGCGAGAGCTCAGTGATTCTTGACCGCTGGTGTGGAGAGTAGCTGGCGGTTGCGTTTTGAAATTGTTATTGTGAGCGCTCTGAACCATCTTAGAAAAATTCACAGACCAGGCCAGAATAGAAAAAGCATTGTTTGTAGAGGTGAAAAACTGGAACCAACTTCGGTGCACTGCTGCAGGCACTGGCACAAAAACTGGGGCAGCCAGCCCCATTTTGCTACTTCGTCCGACGTTAAAATGAATTAGATAGAATTCTGAGAGATTGGCTGAAAAGTAAATAATAAAGCGTTCAGTACTAGATTTCTAATAAAAAATATTGGAACGATGTGCTACCATGTTCTGTGGGAAAGTATATGTTGAGGCAACAGGCCGCAAGAGCATACACCAAAATGATGACAGGTTAGCAGAAGATGTATGTGAGCAGGAATCAGAGTACTTTAGCCCTGATTGTGACTTTCTTTTATAATCCCTAAATGCTTCAGGGTGTATTTCCTAAAAATAAAGACATTCACATGACCACTTTAGGGAGACTTAACATTGATAGTGCTATTATTCACTTTACATATTCTAATTTCCATGTTCTGATTATGTTGAAGTGTAATCCATAGTGAGGGCTGTAATCTTTAATCTTCATCAGTATGTGTTTGAAGTTATCTTCACTTTCAACAAGGTTGTGTCATCTTCATATTATCTAGTTGTTAATGAGGCTTCCTCCAATCCTGACACAAGTTGTTCAAGGATCATCTTGTCCTTCCTTAGAATCAGCCATTTTCTCTTTTTAATTGTTTAGTGTTTTACTTGTTTTAAAAATGCTTTTTATGGAGATCTGCCATAGTAGAAGGGAGCTCTGGTAGCGTAGTGCCTAAGGCACTTGACTGCTAACCAGAAGGCTGGCGCTTCAAACCCACCAGCCACTCTTTGGAAGGAAGGTTGGGCAATCCTACTTCCGTAGTGATACTGCCTCAGAAACCCAAGGAGGGGTCTCTATGAGTCAGGGGGTGACTCGACGGCAAATAACAACAACAACAACAACAGCCATAGTAGAAAAAATACTTTTTATGGAGATCTGCCCTAGTAGGAGTAAGGTGACCAACTGTGCTGGTTTTCCTAGATTGTACTGGGTTTAGCACTGAAAGTCCCACATCCTGCCCCTCAGACCCAGGCAAACTGGGACCATTGTTGGCCGTAAGTAGAAGGGATCCTAGGGTAAAGATGGAGAGAGAACGAGCCTTGTTTGAGTGAGTTCTTTCTGTGATTGAGGAAGGACTGGTGCTCCCAGAATCAGTGACTTGCTCAAGATCACACATCCTCAATGGCAGTGCCACTAGCCTGACTTCAACACCCGCAATACTTCCCCTCAGTCTTCATAGGGCGCTAGCCTGAGAGGGGCAAGGGGAAGGACCACAGAGTTTTGAACTTAGGGACAGGGTAGTGGTTGGAAGGGTAGACCTCACATTCAGACTGTGGACAGGGACTCTTAGGCCCTGGGAACACAGGAACCTGTCACAACCATCTGGTGCTTCCAGCAAGAAAGACAGTTGCTCTGGGGTCAGGATTAGAGATATGAGTGAGGAGTCCAGGAGCCATGACATTACAGTGACATGGGACAAAAGAATCAGGAAAGGCTTCTTTGAGGAAATGATACCTGAGCATAGCCCCACAGAATGTCCAGGAGTTGGCCCAATCCATGGCTGTCATAATAGGGGGACTCACAGGGACAAGAAGAACAGGGAAGCTCCACACTCACCCAGGCAGCAGATGACTGGGTACCCCACATTGCCAGGTCCTTGATATATATATCATAATCCTCACCATATCCTGAGAGGTAGGGACTACTCTATCATGAACATTGCGGCCCAGTGCAAAATCCTTGGGATCATCTTTGACTTTGTAGTACCCCACCCCCACCTAATCTGTCAGCAAAGGCTGTCTGCCTGAATTTAAGAAGAAAATGAAATCCCATCCTTCTGTCACTCACTGCTCCCTCCCTAATCTAAGCCCCATCAACTCCCACCTGGGTGATTAGGGTAGCCTCACTGGCCTTCCTGCTCTCACCTTCTTCTACACTCCACCAAGTCTATTCTCTGCACTCAAGTTGAATCACATCCTTCTGCTTAAAACCCTTCGTAGAGTACATCTAAGGGCACTCTGGTGGCATAGTGCCTGAGGCATTTGACTGCTAACCAAAAGGCTAGCGGTTCAAACCCACCAGCCGCTCCTTGGAAGGAAGATTGGGCAATCTACTTCCATAATGATACTGCCTTGGAAGCCCAAGGAGGGGTCACTATGGGTTGCATCTGACTCAACGACAGTGAGTTTGGGGTTTTTTTTAGAGTCTGGTTGCATAGTGCTTAAGGCACTTGACTGCTAAACCAGAAGGCTGGCAGTTCAAACCCACCAGCCACTCCTTGGAAGGAAGGTAGGGCAATCTACTTCCATAATGATACCACCTTGGAAACCCAAGGAGGGGTTGCTATGAGTCAGGTCCGACTCCACAGCAATTACAACAACATCTAATGTCTGCAGTGACTTCCAAGGCCCTGCTGACCTGGCCCCTCTCTGACCTCCTTCTAGCCACCTAGTCTCCTTGCTGCCCCTCCAGCCAGGGCCTTTTCTGTTCCCTCTACATAACAGCTTTCTTCCTCACCTCTACACAACTTTGTATTCAAATGCCCCTCACACTCCCATCTTCCTTTCTTTTCTCCGTAGTACACTGTATGTTGTGCTTAATTACCTTTTCACTGTCTGTCTCTCCTACTAAAATGTCAGCTCCATGAATGCAGCGATCTTGACAAGGTCTTGATCTTTCCATATCCACAGCATATGCTCCAGTATTCATAGAAGGAATGAATGGATGAAGAGACATTTGCAGCCAAGGTCCTTTAGTGGGTCAGATAGAGACAGCCTTGATGCTGAAATCCAGGCTGTCCTCACCATTCACCACTCTCTGGACCCCAGACCCTTTCTGACAGAATGAAGAGGAATATACAGGCAAACTGAGGTAGGCTTGTCAGGTGAACAGAGAACACAGAACACAAGTGTTGGTAGAAACTTGAGGAATACTAGGAAGCACAGGCAATGGCTTCATCCCATCAAGAACAACTGGACCCCTCAGCCAGGAGGACAAAGGTAAATGGCATTCCTCCCAACCAACCACACTCTGACTTTATAAGCCAAGGTTTCCTGGGTACTCTGACCCTTCCCTGTTCTAAGTGAAAGTTAGCAGGATTCTCTGGCATACAGTTGGCTCAGGCTTTGGTTTGACCTGGGTTTGGCCACTCAGCCCCTGCCTACCTTCTGTCCCCATTCCCTTTGGAGCTCTGCCTGCCCATGGGAGTCCCTCCTTCCTCCTGGAGTCCTGTCCTTTCTCTCCCCTTGCCTGATTGTGCCCAGTGCCTTGGAGAACAAGGGTCTCACAGAAACTGAGCCAAAAAGTACAGGCTTCACCACAGTGGCTCCCCATTGTTGGACAAAGGTCCTCAATCCTCATGATGAGCTATAGCTCTCCCAGGTGGACTTAGCTGCCTGCATGGTGGATCACTTAAGTGTTCCTACATATTCAGGCTGTGTAATCTCAGATGGGGAGCTCTGGTAGCGTGGTGCCTAAGGCACTTGACTGCTAACCAGAAGGCTGGTAGTTCAAACCCACTGGCCACTCCTCAGAAGAAAAGTTGGGCAATCTACTTTCGTAGTGATTCTGCCTCAGAAACCCAAGTAGGGGTCTCTATGAGTCAGGTCCGACTCGAGGGCAAATAACAACAAACAACAACAACCTCAGATGAGTCTTTGGCCCAAAAGTCATTCATGCAATAAACTCCTCTGTGCCAAGCCTGGAAGGTTCAAATACAGTAATGATGATAAGGGCAATGATACCAGCAGATTTATTGAGTGTTTACTCTGTTCTAAACCCTATGCCAAATATTTTGTGTGTATATGTTATCTTAAGCCTCACAAACAAGTTAGAAGATGGGTACCACTATTACCATTTTATAGGTGAGAAAACTAGGGCTTAAAAGGTTTAAATTACTTGCCCAAGATCATATAGTTTACAACTGGAAAAGCTCAAAATCCAAACGCAGGTCTGACTCCAGAGCCCATCCTCCCAGGCTTCACAGGGAGGAACAGAAGCTCACGTTGCAGAAGGGGTAGACCAAATTACCAGCTCTGCTGTGATGAGTTAATGGTGCCTTAACACAGTGTACCTGGGAGCCTACAAGGTTGGCTGCCTGGAGGACTCAGGCAGACAGCATGGAGTAGGGGACAAGTGGGCTGGATCTTGAAGGATGAACAGGTGTTTGTCAGGCATGGAAAGTGGAGAGGAGTGTTCCAGAGAGAAGGCCCAGAGACACAAAGATGTGGATTCATGGAACAACATGGTGGGGTGGGGGGTGGGGGAGGGTAGTTGGAGAATTCAGAACAGCTGAGCATGA